AAAATCAAAACTTATATCCAATAGTAATCAACCCTTTGTTGATTTCCGCAACATAAAATAGTGCTTTCATAAGAATAAAGCGGAATATTGTCCGATACCAACTGTACGAATAGAAAACAATCTACTTTAATTTTATTACATGGTTATGATAAAAACATTTTGTGTCACGAACGCAACGCTTTCAACTGTTATTAAAAAATGCAAAACCAAATTTTAACTGCAATTCAGTGATAGACCACAGACAAAGATTTTCAAGTGCGCAAAAGGAAATTTCTCTGTAAGTCACTCCTTACGAACTTTCTCTGGCACAATCCTTAGCTCAAACGCACAACTAATGTATAACCCTATGAAAGACTCTGATAGTTAGCCAGACACTGTTTAATCTAAAAACCTTACAACATACTGCAAATGCTCAATACGATATAAAATACCGATTACAAAGTCTGCAACACAGACGAATGTCCTCCTTACAACAAGACAAATAAAAAAATTCAAAGAACTTCATTTAAAGAAACACCTACCATTCGCTGTAACATGGGGTTAGAAGAGTCAAAAGTTTCATAAAATTACAAATAAAATGCCATCCATACCAATGTGCTTAGAAACTGATGAAATCAATCATTTAAAAATCTAGAATTTTCAAGCATGTAGGTATGAAAAACTTCAAGTATAGGAACTCCTAGAATTTCATGATATCAGCCATTTCGACGTTTAAAATTTTGAACTATGCAGATCTAAAAAACATTCTATATCGAAACTCCTAAAACTTGATGGTGGCACTCTTTTAAATGTTTCGAATTCTGAACTATGTGCAGCTGATAAAATTTTTAAACAGAAACTCCTAGTAATTGATAATATCATGCGTTTAAACGCTTAGAATTTTGAATTATTTAGATATACAAAAACTTCTGTATCGAAACTGCTAAAACTTGATAATATCAGACGTTTAAACGTTTAGAATTTTCAACCAAGTAGATGCAAAATAATTCGTATGTGAAAACTTCTAGAAATTCTTAATATCAACCGTTTAAACGTTAACAATTTTGAACTATGTAGATATAAAGAAATTTTTGTACCGAAACCCCTAAAACTTGTTGACATCAAATGTTTAAACACTTAGAATTTTGAAGCATGCATATATGAATAAATCCATATGTGAAAACTCCTAAAAATTCATAATATCAAACGTTTAAACATGTAGGATCTTGAACTGTATAGATACACAAAAATTTCTATATTGAAACTCCTAAAAATTGTTGACATCAGACGTTTAAACGCTTAGAATTTTGAAGCATGGAAATATGAAAAAATTCACCTGTGAAAACTCCTAAAAATTCTTAATATCAACCGTTTAAACGCGAAGAATTTTTAACTATGTAAAAATAAAAAAATTTATATCCCAAAAGTTCTAAAAAAATATTGACATAAGTCATTTGAACGTTTAGAATTTTGCACCATATAGATATGAAAAAATTCGTGCATGAAAACACGTCGGAATTCTTCGTGTCAGCCGTTTAAACGTTTACAATTTTGAGCTATGCAAACATAAAAATATTTCGATATCGACACTTCTGAAAATTCTTGACATCAAGCGTTTAAACGTCTGGAATTTTGAAGCATGTGGTTACGAAAATATTCATATATGAAAACTCCTAGAAGGGTGTGGGTGTGGGTGTGGGTGGGTGTGGGTGTGGGTGTGGGTGGGTGTGGGTGCCGGTGTGGGTGTGGGTGTGGATGTCAGCAAATAGAAGATCCACTCATACTCACACTCACACTCACACCCACCCCACACCCGCACCCACACCCACCCCACACCCACACCCACACCCACCCACATCCACACTCCACACCCACACCACCCACCCACACCCCCGTTGCTCCGTTGTAATCATAATAAAACAAGTCGAACTGGCAGTGTGTATGTTTTTGTTTTCGTTCTTACCAGTATGAGAGAAGAGACACAAGTGGTTACGTAGATTAAAGCAAACGAAAGTTGGAAAGAATAACCATAAAATAAATGATATTGCTGGTTTTTTTCTCTTTCATTTGTTGTTGACAACCATATCTTCAATTGAAACTAGGTGAAGTTCGTCCTTGAGTATCAACAAAAAAACAGCGGACATTGAATGAATAAATAAAAAAGGTAATATCTATTCAAACAACAATCTCTTCTTTACAATATACGATTACTAATCAAGCAGCAAAAATGGCATCAAAAATGACTCGATATCGAAGGCACCGTAACGATGCAACTGCGCGTCAAAGGACCAACATCAAAATGGTGCAAAATGTTCTTCTGATTTGGTTGGATAACAACATTGACGACAACACCGCGAGCTACCGAAATACCAGCACCCAACTACGGCGTATCATCAACAGCATCAATATATTTACTGATGCTGATCAATGCATCGATTTCCTTACAGAGCTTTACAATGAAACTGTTTTCATGATAATCTCTGATGCATTATGTCAAAATATTGTGCCTACAATTCATGATGTCAGCAACCTTCATGCCATCTTTATCTATTGCGAAAACAAAAAACAACACGAACAATGGGCCAAAGAATGGTCCAAAATCAAAGGCATATTCATAGCAATGTCACCCATCTACGAAGCCCTTAAACAAGCAACTCAACAATGTGAACAAAATGCCATTCCAATTAGCTTCATGGCCACAAGTGGTGACATGTCCAAGAAAAAATTAGATAAACTGGACTGTTCGTTCATGTACACTCAAATCCTCAAGGAAATTTTATTAACAATTAAATTTGAAGAACAACATATCCAAGAATTTATTCAGTATTGTAGCGAATCGTCTGCTGACAATGATTATGATTTAAACAGGGTCAAAGAAATGGAACGAAAATATCGTGATAAAACACCCGTTTGGTTGTATACTGAAGAATACTTTGTGTATTCAACGCTTAATCGGGCTCTTCGACTAACGGATGTCAATGCTATAATTAAAATGGGTATCTTTACCGCTGATCTTCATCGCCACATTGAACAATTGCACATGAAACAATTTGGTGGTCACCAAGTCGGTACAACCTTCACAGTCTACCGTGGACAAGGTATGTTCAAGAAAGATTTTGAACAGATGAGTAAAATCAAGGATGGACTCATTGCCTTTAATAATTTTTTATCCACTAGCAAAGATCGCGATGTTGCTCTTCTCTTGGCCGACAGCAACCAGAACAATCCAGATTTAGTGGGAATTCTCTTTGTTATGACTATCGATCCTTCTAAATCAACAACTCCCTTCGCATCTATTGAGGAAATCAGTCAGTTCCAAGTAGAAAATGAAATTCTCTTCTCGATGCACTCGGTTTTCCGCATCCACGATATCGTACCCATGGATGAAACTGATCGACTCTTCCAGGTAGATTTAACGCTTACCAGTGACATCGACAAAGATCTTCGCATACTTACCGAACGCGTCCGAGAACAAACTTTTCCAGACTCAACAGGATGGTACCGATTGGGTATATTGCTCGGTGCTATGGGTCAGTTCGAGAAGGCCCAACAACTCTATGAAATTCTGCTTGGTCAGACAACGTCGGACGATGAAAAAGCACCGATTTACAGCCAGCTTGGGATAGCCAAAGATAAACAAGGATTCTATAAAGAGGCAATAGCATACTGTGAAAAGTCCCTCGAAATTCAACAGAAAACACTTCCTCCAAATCATCCCGATTTCGCTTTGTCCTACAACAATATCGCTGTGGTGTATGAGAACATGGGTGAATACTTGAAGGCTCTTTCATTTCACGAAAAAGCCCTTGAAATTAAACAACAATCACTTGCTTCGAATCATCCTGATGTAGGCGTTTCCTACAACAACATCAGTGGAGTGTATAACAAGATGGGTGAATACTCGAAAGCACTTTCATCTTACGAAAAAGCCCTTGAAATTCGACAACAATCACTTCCTTCGAACCATCCTGATATAGGCGCTTCCTACAACAACATTGGTTTGGTGTATGAGAACATGGGTGAATATTCGAAAGCAATTTCATCTCACGAAAAAGCCCTTGAAATTAAACAAGAATCACTTCTTCCAAATCATCCTGATGTAGGCGCTTCCTACAACAACATCGGTGAAGTGTATAACAAGATGGGTGAATACTCGAAAGCACTTTCATCTCACGAAAAAGCCCTTGAAATTCGACAACAATCACTTCCTCCGAACCATCCTGATATAGGCGCTTCCTACAACAACATTGGTGTGGTGTATGAGAACATGGGTGAATACTCGAAAGCATTTTCATCTTACGAAAAAGCCCTTGAAATTAAACAACAATCACTTCCTCCGAATCATCCTGATGTAGGCGCTTCCTACAACAATATCGGTGAAGTGTATAACAAGATGGGTGAATACTCGAAAGCACTTTCATCTCACGAAAAAGCCCTTGAAATTCGCCAACAATCACTTCCTCCGAATCATTTCGATGTAGGCGCTTCCTACAACAACATTGGTTTGGTGTATGAGAACATGGGTGAATATTCGAAGGCTCTTTCATCTCACGAAAAAGCACTTGAAATTAAACAACAATCACTTGTTTCGAATCATCCTGATGTAGGCGTTTCCTACAACAACATCGGTAGTTCTTATGCGCAGATGAAAGAATACGCAAAAGCTGTCCCATATTTCGAAAAGGCTCTTGAAATTCAACAGGAAACACTTCCTCCGAATCATCTTCATTTGGCTTATTCCTACAACAACATCGCTTTGGTGTATGAGAATATGGGCGAATACTCGAAGGCACTTTCGTCTCACGAAAAAGCCCTTGGAATTCAACAAGAAACACTTCCTTCGAACCATCCTGGTTTGGCTATGTCCTACAACAATATCGGTGGGGTGTATCGCAACATGGGTGAATATTCGAAAGCACTTTCATTTCATGAAAAAGCCCTTGAAATTCGCCAACAATCACTTCGTCCGAATCATCCTGATGTAGGCGCTTCCCACTTCAATATTGGTTTGGTGTATGAGAACATGCGCGAATACACGAAAGCGCTTTCCTCTCACGAAAAAGCTCTTGCAATTCGACAACAATCACTTCTTCCGAATCATCCTCATTTAGCTTCTTCCTACAACAACATCGGTAGTTTTTATGCTCGAATGAAAGAATACGCAAAAGCTGTCCCATATTTCGAAAAGGCCCTTGAAATTCAACAGAAAACACTTCTTCCGAATCATCCTGATTTGGCTATGTCCTACAACAACATCGGTGGAGTGTATAACAAGATGGGTGAATACTCCAAAGCACTTTTGTCTTACGAAATAGCCCTTGGAATTGAACAGGAAACACTTCCTCAGAATCATCCTGGTTTGGCTATGTCCTACAACAATATCGGTGGGGTGTATCG